AACATGCAAAATGACACTCTCATTATCATTCGGTTATCCCAAAATCAATATTCAATCCGAGACACGGTTCCCACATAATGAATCAAACGGAACAAAAACCCGTCCCAAGTCCATCCACAAATGATCGCTCAAGTCAAACCCTTTCACTCACATATACGTGCAAAAACCATGAATGATCGACAAAGCATAAAATAATAAGCACGAGATCAACAAGCCAACTCCCTGATTTTCTTCTTCTTTTTTTATTATTTTTTTTATTTTATATATTTTTTTTTTGAATGAGCCACTTTTTCCAAATGAAAGCCGTTAGGACGATTATTGCCTAGGTTTAACCTCGGGGTTTGTCCCCGAGTCGCCTAGGCCGGTTTCCCGTGCTCGTTGACCCGATCTATCTAGAAGATTAACCGAGCCAAGAGGAGCCTAATCCTTTCGACTTCCACGAACTCATTTCGTGAGCTTCTTTTTCCAAACGAGGTTTCCGGATGAGATGATCTAGGTTTGACCTCGAGGGGTTTCCCCGAGTCTCCTAAACCAGTTTCCCGGGCTCATTATCCCAATCCACGAATGGCTCGGAATAAGAGGAGCCTAATCCGTACTTCCTCGCGAACTCACTTTTTATTCCCCTTTTTTTTTCTTTTTTTCTATTTTTTTTTTTTTTAGGGAGAGGCACACAAAGATACATCACAATTCCAATACATGATCATCACAAATCAATCGAAACGTACCACAAGTGTATAGAGAACACGTTTACAACAATGATCGAACATAAGGTAAGCATGCCTCAAGACAACCAATCGAGAACAAACCAAGGACAAAACAATTCCGTTAATCCACATGCGAGTTCCAATGTCAACGAATCATCAATCAATCAAGGGAAACCGTCAAATTCATCAAGTTCATCAAGCATGAATGCTAATAGTGAAACCAATCAACAATCTCGACTCACCACTTAGCTATCTCGACTCTCGAACAAACATCAAGTTCCATGCGGGAGAGATGACACGAACACACAAAAAACTCAAATAAAACCGGTCCACGACACAACAAAAACAAAAAAAAAAATAAAGCACAAGAATGAAGAGAATATCACCTAAACATGCATAATCACGAAATCCCTCCCCCACACTTAAAACAAAGCAATGTCCTCATTGCTTGACCAAAAAGTATAGGCGAAAGCACATAATCACGTACGTTCATGCGATAAAAATAAAAACGAGAGACAAAAATCAAAGAAACACGATAAGAAAACACAAAGACACACAAAAAACAAAGAAAGAAAGAGAAAATAGGAAAAGAAAATGCGTACTCGACACGGTGGTCGTCACCACCGCGTGTCCAATAATGGTCATCCGGAGGGAATAGAGAGGTCAACCGAAAACCATAGAGCGTGAATATGAGCCATCCGAACGGTTTAACGTTGAAGCACTCGAAGCGAGAGAAGCTATGTGTGTGTGTCTCGGAGAGATAGTAACCAAGAATGCATAAACTCGACGTAGACACACGTTCGCGTGAAAGCGCGAAAATCGGGCCTCGAATTCCTTGTCGATCTCCGCCATGGTACGACACAACTAACTTCGTTTGTATGTAACGCATAGTCGATTACCGGCGCTTGCCGTAAATAGGTACCTACAACTCAAAATCCCGGCAAAAACACAAACATATGTGGCACGCCCGGCAAGACGTGCCTAAAACGCACAAGTCTAACCCACAAATCTCAAAACGACTACTCCGGCAAGAGTAGTAATCCAAGTATAACGAATATAAAGAGAACATGAATGTACAAAA